GACACCTATACATTCTGGGTATGATAACTCTGAATCCCAATCTACAAGGACAACAAAATCCCAAAAAACAGAGGGCATTTCTAAACATATTTTAAGAAAATCAAGAATTTGAGAATCAAAATCTGCTTAAGATCTGAGCATCTGCCCTGAAAACATGCAAGTTCCAGTGACTCCCTTCTGCTTCTGGCTCTCCACTTGCAAACAGAGGACTTCATATGATTCTACCACTTGCTTGGAGCTGCTCAGGGAGTAGCAGTGCACCCCAGGGAGCAACTTCTAACCAGCCATCCTGGGACTGTAAATCTCTAGTCAGCTGGTCTTTATTTCAGCACTTTCTGCCCCAAGAGTCTGGGTTGCCAAGTGTAAATCTTCAAGGTAAAAGAAAAAAGCTGGAGCAAAGTTGAAACAAGGGACAGAATTTGAAAATGCCAAGGTCTTAGAATTTCATTTCTGAGATGAAGGGGCTATGCTTGACTGTTCTGTGGCAACTGGAGTTGGAACTGGAATTAAAATACTTGAATTCTAGAGATGACCTGACACACAAAATTGTCCCTTAAGCTAAAAATGGTTTCTAAAGTATCAGAAGTGATGGCTACTGGGGTCATGTGACTTGGGAAGACACCTGAGGGAAATTTCCAGAGGGATGGTGATATTCTATGATAGGGGTTTGAGTTCCAAAGGCTTGTTTAGTCCTAAAACTCACAAATGAACATGCAAAATACGTGCATATGTAAATTTTACCCTAAAAACTAAAAGATATTGAATTCTAATGAATAGACCTACTGAGAAAGAGGAATATGAACGGTTGTCTGTTTACTTGAAATATATTAATGAACATATAGGATAGACCAATGTGTGATTTAGTTAGATGTGAATGGCAAAATCCAGGTGGTGAGTATATAGGGGTTTTACACTAAAATTCTTTCTACATCACTGCATGTTTGAAATTGTTCATAAAACGTTGGGGAAAGCTTCCCAATGCTTTAGTTTTCATAAGCAAAATTACTCTGTACTTATGCATGCACAGCAATCCTTAGGGATGTCACTAGGAATAGAAATTTCCTTCCAGTGTGCCCTCTGCCTTTTCCTAGGCCACTGACCTATCTAGTCCAGACCTTGGAAGGCCTCCCTTTCTCCACACTTTCATAATCAGGTCCTCACCCACTGGGCAAAGGTGAATGCAAATACAGCACTGGCTACTCAGCTATTGGGCAGATCTTTGCATTGAAAACTCAATCCTTCATGCTGTTATGGCAAATCATCAGTATAAGTGCTTTTCTTTGCCTGGAGAAACTTGTAAAACCCGAGTACCTTGGTGTACTGTTTTAAAACCAATTTAGATATAATTTAGATATAATTCATATAAATTGCTTAACACTCCTGATTTGAAATTGAAGATTTTCTAAATTAATTCAAAAATTAAAAATTCTCTAAACAGCATGGAGAAATGACCAGTACTTGTCATTTCCATTGGTCATGAGGAAAGGAATTAACATTTGTTGAGCCTTAGACATCTTGCTTCACTGACACTGGCTCACATAGTCCTCATAACACTGCAAGTACATATCTTAACTTTATGATGATGCTCCTGGTCATGAAGCCAGTTAACAGGTAGACCCAGGACTCAAACCCAGATCTCCTCAGTTCAAAACCATGTTCTTTTCACCAAATCATATCCTGACATTTAAAATATGCTATGTTCTGCAAAGCTCACTCTACTACAAGGACAGCAGCATTTAGCCAAGATTTTATAAATACACCACTGGGTCAAAGAACAAAATTTATAAGGGCAGTTTCATGTTCTACTTCAATTCTTTAAACCACTCAAAAGATGTTTTAAATAGTTTACACTTTCTACCAGTCATACTGACAAATACAAGTATGAAACTTCGCAATATTTTCCATAGCATTAATAGGTTAGGGCTTCATCTGTGTAAGGGAAATTTACTTCTTGATGTCTAGTATTGTTTACTCAAACTAGAATTAAACACTCTAGCACTCAATGTTCTTCCTTACGCTCAAACCATAAAACTGTTATCCAACAGTAATGCAACCTTTTCTCCATGTTTACCCTAAGCCAGATAACAGAAGCACTAGTGCAGACTACCCTATTTTTCTTCTTTTCAGTGGTCCAACAACATGTCAAGAGCTTAGTCTCCTACTAGGGCCATGTTTTAAATTTAAGATTAGCCTCACATGGCAAGCAAATCATGCCCTGCATATTACTTGTGGAAAATATTTATTGTAGCTGCTTCTCTATATAAAACAGGATTGAGATCTGAAGGTGTAAGAAGGGAGGCTCTACAGATACTCTCAGGAATATCATGCTCCAGTTTTTTAGTTTGGTCAGATTTCTTTTTTATAATAGGGAATTAAGAGACAAGAGTAGATAGATGCCATGAACATATACTAAAATTTTTTAAAGTTTTTAACCAAAGGTTAGGGCAAAAAAATCTTTTTGACATGTAGGCTCAGTAGAAGCCATGTGACCCTGCTGTAGAGATTTGATCTTAACATTGATGTTATTTAATTCTAAATTTAAATCTAATTCAAAAATTTGTAGTGCTCATATCCAGAGGCCACTCAACCTCTTATTCTCAGATCTGCTGCAGCCATTGAATCTTTGCTTTGAGGAACATCCTTCTAATTATTTTCCATGTACAATCCCAAATCTAGTAGTCTATAGCTTCATAAAGGTAAAATAAACTGAGAAAACTTTTGTGATCTCGTTGTGAAAAGGAAATCCCCAGAGCAGAAGACATGCAGGGTACTTCAGAGTAAATGCAGGTCTCCCTCCCAAACCTACACTTGCGAATTCTATGTCAGAGGAGCAATCCATATTTCTCGCAACTTCTTGGGGCATCTCGTAGGTATAGAAACCAAGTTTTATTCAAGTATGTTCAATGTTATTCTATAGTCAGAATATAACCAAGAAACTGTATTAACCATGTGCAGATGCACACATTTTGATAAGACAAAACATCCAAACTTGGGTTGGTTATGTTCTCAAATTAAGGATCCACAATAAAACTGTGGGTAAAACTTTGACTTTTCACGAAGTTTACAAGAACTACTTCCCAATTGAAGTGTTAAAATGTTCATATTCTTCTATCATACAGGCTATCTAATATGGATAAAAAGTTCTTAGTGTCTTTTAAGTCTAAGGGTTAACATGGAAAAAGGCTAAATGAATGGCTTAGCAGGTGAGTTGGACTTGGATTTTCTCTAGCCAGTGCTTTGAGAAACATCAATAACCCTCTAGGTCAGAAACCTGGGATAATGTGGGTACAGTATCTGAATCCAAATTCTCATACACTCTTATTAAGGCAAAATTTGAGGCATCTGCAGAAGATGTATCTGGAAAGTAAAATGTTTTTTTGTTGTTGTTGTTTCTCCTTCAATGTAACACACCATCAAGAGCTGCTTTCCAAAGGTCATAATTAGATTTCCTCAGAAGTGTACCTGAACTGTTAATCATTACTATTTTGTGAAATGTGGAACTGTTTAATCACTTTAATGTGTAATTATTGTCTGGAACCTCAACACACAAGTTCCTTTGCCTCTAACGCCCCCTTACTGGCCATTCTAGATAATGAATGTAACCATCTTTTTCTACTAGATATACTCAGACTCCCAACCAGACAGGAGACAAAGAGAAGAAAAACTAGATCTTAAAAAAAAAAAAAAAAAAATCCCAGCAATAAGGCAAGGAATCCCAAGACTAAAAAACACAATTGCTTGGCAAAGTGTTTTGCAAATATGACTTCACATGGTTTTCCAGTTTGTGGTCTCTAGAATGCTTTCAAACACATTAGAGGAAAGGATCTTAAGAGTCATATGCAGCCTGAAAAGGCTTGGAGCAACAATAATTATGCTAATGACACTGAAAAGGGAAGTCATTTAAGCAACTAAGCTGTCAGATTCTTATACAGAATATGAAATATTGGCTGCCAGTGTTTTCAGACTGATGTAAAACTCAACATTGTACATCCTTGAAGGCTAACCACCTCCACTTACTTTTAAATTCTTGTATTATGATACAATTAATTAAAACCTTTTACTAATCTTCATCTACTTGTTTGTAGCATTATTCCTTGGTATTACTCAACCAAGCAAATTAAGCATTCATTTAAAATGTTAAATAATAAAAATATGAGACAAATATTTGTAACTACACATACTCAGGGTATCCTCAAATTGTCTTCAAACTTAAAAACAAAAATTACTAAAACTATAGTGTAAAAGCAAGCACAGTTTGACACTACAAGAGAACCTTATTAAAGTTTAGCCTTCACCATTAAATATCATCTGACCTCATGGATTTCAACTTTCAGTTTCTATTCTGCAGCAACTTCCCACCAACCCCGCCTGAAGGACAACCTGCTCTGATCAGGTTTTGATCCAATTCAGATTTGTTCTGTAGAAATGACAAGGGGGCCTAATCCTAAACTGAGTGCATTTCTATACTAAATGCTTTTTGTTTCACTAGGTGTTGTTTAAACTTATTTCACAGTTGAAAGCTGAAAGCACCAGGAAGGAAGGTAGAAACTTTCTTCCTCTTAATTTCTTCACGACTGCTGTCCAAGAAGACTGGAAAGGCAAATATTCATTATGGATTGTAATTCACTTTTGCTTTGGTTTTGGAGGCTTCCCTTAAGAAAAAAGAAACTTGTTAATAAGTAATAAAATCATAGAACAAGGTTAAATTATTGAGGCAGTGTCAATCACAAAAGAAAAATTTAAGTTATTTTTCTACTTAATCTTATCACACTAAATAGCAATACTTCTAAATTCTGCATTTTTGTACTCCCGAGGTATGATCATTTGACTCCTTACTATTTAGCAGAAATCATTCCAATTTCTCACACTGCCATCTTTAACTACACAAAGTATTATTATTTACTTGCTTTCACAGTTGTAGAATCAAAGACTTAGAGAAGGTCTCAACTGTAATAACTAGCCCAGCATCACAAATAAGAAAATGAGGGCAGGACTGAAAGGACAGTAACCCACATCTGACAGTACTTTAATTTTCCAAAACTCCAAAATCTGTTAACATTAACGCAAGTTTTATTCAAGAGATAATATTTAAGAAGAGGTCAATTCTAAACAAAAGAAAAATTTGCCAGTTAACCACCCTACAGTAAAAAGTAGAAGTGGGTACCATTTATGACACATAAATAAATTCCACCTTAATGTTTCTAAATAAAGCTGTAATCACTTCTTTGTCATTTAACTTTTGCTATTTAATAAGGCTATGTGAATTGTATTCAGAAACTTTTGACAACACACACAACTTCAAATTGAAGTACCACCTAGGATTTTCAGTTCAGGCTGAGTACCTGTAAATACCTAGGATCTATAACTTAAGACTGCATATTAATATATGAATTCAATTTGAATCACCTTCACTACGTTCACCAAAATTATTTTTAAAAATAATTAGATCAATGTTTATTATGACTTTATAACTCTCTCAAATTAAACATCTCAATATTTAACATGGTAGATTCAAAAATAAATATTCAAGGCCTCTTTTAAAATTTTCTTTCAAAATCCACGCTAATAACAAATGTTAAGAGCACTATCTGAAAATAAAGCAAAGTAGCTTTCCTCTAAAACTTACATATTACAATACAGATTGCATTCTGTTCCATAATTCTGATAATCTTTTTTGGTAATGAAACAATTTAGGATGATTCATTTAAGATGATTCATTTCTTGGGAAATCTTAATGGTAGTCACTCAACAAAATCATTCATTCTTGGAGTAACAAACACTCAAAAACTATTGTTGGCATTGACCAAGTTTCTGTTTTGTTTTGTTTTTTTGGTGGTTATTGCTTTAGTTGGCAATATCTGAATTCACGACAAAGAACATCTCCCATTAAGCCTTATGTGAAATATTACAAAATTCATACAGAAGACTCATAGAGGCTATAAAGCTGATGTTTTAAATAACTCACCCTTGAAATGGGTGCAATTTTTAGAGGATATCCAATAACTTTTTGCTCTAAAAATATATGCCCCTACTTTTCAGTGTTCCCATTCAACAGGAGACTTGAGCAGCTTAACAGTTTTGCTATAAAAAAACCACTCTTCTTAACAAACCAAAAACGTAAAAGGAAACCAATAAAGGACATATTTTTCACAGTTAACAATAAATAAAAGTGCACTAAGTGTTCAAGTAGGGCACGTAGTTTAAAAACTACATGTGACTATTTGGCATAGGTCATCTTTTAAAGGCTCTCCGAGGGTCCCTGCCATTACTTATTGTGGTCATGACTGTTTGATTATTAGCAGCTCCTGGTAGCTGTGTATTGATAGGTCCCCGGACATTGCTTCTACCAGCATATGAAAGTTGGTATCCCCTTGATTCAGGGCCAGTTTGAAGGCTATTTCCTAAAAAAGAATACAAAAAATCATCATTATCTTCAGAAGAGGTCTATAATAATCTATGTAAACTACACATATTTTAAGTTCCAATATATCTATTAATGCTTTTAAATATTAGGGAAAACAAACTTCTTTTATTTTTACACTGGAAAAAAATGCGAGTTTTAGGTTTTTACAATGTATTAGTACTATAAATACATTAACTTGATATTGTGTTAGTAGTGGAAAAAAGCCAATTTGGGCAACAAGATTAGAAAAGGAACAGGAAAACACATGCACTGCTTATACTACAAAAAAAAATGTTGAGTACCAACATTTTTGCTCAAATACGGTTAATTTTTCAAAACAGACAACGTAATCCTTTTTTAGACAGCAAAGTGTGATGATCAGTTGTGCCAAAATATGCCATCAGGTCAAATAAAGTATCATTTATTCTAATGAAATCTAATGACTTTTCCTTAATAAAGACTTGGGGAAAAAAAAAAAAAAACCTTTAACAGGGGTTACACCAGGACCTGTTAGGATAAAGGCCAATCTTTCAAAAAGGCAGTTAATAATTATATATGAAAATTTAAGGTGTTAATTTACTATTACTTTTCAGAACTATTAATATGATTATCAGCTTTCAATGTACCAACATAACCACTAATTCTGTATCTATTATAAATAACTAGATTACAGAAATTTTATAAAAATAAGTGGAAAAATAGTATCAGACTTTTTCACAGATACACCAGTTTTTTGCATTAGTCAATGTTCAATATTATATTCCCTGAAATTGGTCCAAATATTTATAGAATGTGCTCAGTAAATTAGCTTGCAAGTACATATTATTTGCCTTCTAGAAAACATTTGGAGATTCCCTTTTTATTGGTAGTTCACCTTTATACTTACTTATGCCTAAAGATAGTCTTTTCCTCTAAATCTTTCACACTTCCCATAATGTATATGCATATACCTAATTTAAAAAAAAAAAAAAAACTTACCCATTGATCCAAATGTACCTGTACCTATATTACTATTCATGGAATTAGTCTTCTGTTCATTGTGTGCCTTAAAAAAAAAGTTTTAAACAAATGAAGATTAAAATAACACTCATTATTACAAACTTATTATACCCTTTTTAAAGTTTTAGTGGTTTTGTAAAATTATCTTTTAACAATACTTTAAAAAATTTGTCCAAGTCCATTCAATGGTAAAAGATTCAAGAATGTTCCCCAAATCTTTTTTAAGCTTCTGTTACATCCTGTATTTCCTGACATGACTCCTCACTCCACAAAATCTAAATGGTGCATATATATCTCCATAATATTCTATGCCCTAAACAGACTCATTGAGTATTTTTAATGAAAGTTACTTTAAAGATTATTTTTTACAATTCTCTTCATTACGTTCAGGGTATCACAGGATTAGCCTCAGTACAGAACTATAGTTCACAGTCATATTAGCCCAATCATAAAAATGCACTCTATATTTGGATTAATTACCCCTTTGTTCTGCGGTCCTCGATAATCTGGGTTGGGCTCACTGAAATTTGGCACTTCCGAATAAACCATACAAAATCTGAAAGAAAATAAAGGACAAGTTAAATAGACTTCTGAAATTAATCAACCTTTCCTTAATATTCCTAAGGTTTGGTAATGAAAAATTTAGGTGTCAAATAAATAACAAAATGATAACTAATGCTATTCATTATAACCAAAGTCTCTAAAATCAGTATGTCCCATTAAACATCAAATATCCAACTATCTACAACACATAAAACATTCTATTTCATATTTAAATTCTTCTATACTGCAAAAAAAAAAAAAAAAAAAAAGAGAAAATCATGTCAAAGGATTTTTGGACACAAAAACAAATCTTTGTCCAATTTTTCCAGACAGGCTGATGCTAGTGAACTGTGTTTAGGGTTCCAGAGTGGTTTCTCCAGCAGTGGTGATGGATTTGCACTGATCCATTCACACACTCTCATCCAGTCCCTCTTTTGACCAATCACTTCGAATCTGCAAAGATAATCATCCAAGGTTAAGAGTGGATTCTGGGTGATAAGGACAGATAACTGGCTATATTAAGCCACCAGTTTATATTGGAGCTTGTGGTGACTACATGATATGAACTAACTGACAAATATGTATTTTCTTAGTTCCTTAACCCACTAAAAAGAAACTAGAATCCATTTTAGGTAATCCTAAACTGACCCTGACAAAGAGCAGTCATAAGAAATTAAGTGACCTCCTGTGATTCTTCATTTAACCAACCATCAAACATTATTGTAAATATCTCTGCATACATGAAGGTCAGGACAGGTTTGGTAATACTGACCCTAAAACCTTTCATAATACTTAGTGCTAATAATACCACTCTACATATAAACATGAGTGGATCCAAATTTTTTCCTCTAGCAAAGACAAAGTGTTACTTCAGTCTCTGATCTTTAAAAAAGCTTGTAAGCTCATTTTCATCATTAATAATTTTCTCCCAACAAAGTACCTCATCCTCTCAGTGTCAGTTTTTTCTTTTTGGTGCCATTTATGACTTCTCTCTAAATATCCTCCAATTTAATGGACATTAAGAAGATGTTTAAGCATTAACCAATAGAGTAGAAAAAAGATCTGGCTCACTGCCTGTACCATATTTTATGAGCACAAGCCAAATGACTAGGCTAACATGGAGGGTGAATTACCTTTACACCCCTAGAGAGGATGGTTTCTCCAGGTCTGGGTGGAGATCATTACCAGGGTAGCAGTGTATGGAAGCTCGCATTGCGGCTGCCTGCACCACACCTAGGCTGTAGATAAATAGAGGACTTCAGTTTTCATTGCTGCAAGTCCTTTTACCATGAGTACAAATTCACCCAAACACAAAAAGAAAAAGAACATGTAAACTCATGGCCAGAAATTCATGCCTTGCTCTATTTTTCATGAATCACTAGAAGAGGGAATTCAATTCAAATGACACCTAAAAGATGCGTGCTTCTAAAACCTACCAGAAATAGCCCCACTGAGGCTGGTATGAATTGCCGTTTTACTGCTCTCTGCCAGGAAAATGGATATCCTTAACATAGGATACTAATATACTAATAGCTGTTAAAACTAGTATCCATCAAAAAAAAGCCAATTTAGTGATTTATAGTTTATACCTACCAATTATTCTGTAAACATTTGTAATTTATTCAATTGTACAAAAATGCATTTTAATACTTACTCTCCAATTTTTTGAAGTTCACCACCCCTTCCAGTATAAAGTGTCAGACATCCTTTCCACATGGATGCGTATCTAAAAAGAAACGTTAATTCTTTAGAAATATGTATATTTGTCTATGTAAGTCAGATAAACCTTTACACTGTGTATTTTGTATTGGGATAGGAGTGGAAATCAAGCCCTCTGTAAATCAAATACAATTCTAACATTAACTTGCTAAAAATTATTTCACCAAATTGTGACACAATTACTTAAGTTCAACCCTAGAAATGAAAGAAAACTTCCTTTAGCAAAGCAAGCATTGTTATGCCCCAGATGATTACATCTTTAGTCAGTCAATATAGGAAAAGCTTTTAATTGCAGATATTTAAGCAGAAGTTATTTTTAGGGGTTGGGATTGTGGCTCAGTGGTGGAGCACTTGCCTCATACGTGTGAGGCACTAAGCTTGATTCTCAGCACCTCATAAAAATAAATACAATTAAGGTGTTGTGTCTATCTACAACTTTGTATTATAAGTGTGTGTATAAAGTTATTTTTATTATTTTCAGCCACAAGATGTAAAAAGTTATCACCCCATGTTTCCTTTTACACTTATTGTCATGGTATAGCCAAATTTTAACTGCTTTTCTTCTACTTCCATAAGATGAAGAGTTCCCAATGAAGTGGTAAAGAGAACTTCTTTAGTTTTGAATTTTCCTTTAAATTGTACTCCTTAGCCAGCACAGTGGCACACAGCTATAATCCCAGTGGCTAGATAGGTTGAGGCTGGATTGCAAGTTTGAGGCTAGCCTCAGCATTTAGCAAGAGACTATCTCTATAAATAAAAAATACAAAGGGCTGGGGATGTGGCTTAGTGGTTAAGTGTCCCTGGGTTGAATCCCCAGCATCAAAAATAAATAAATTGTACTTCTTAGCCATTGGGCCCCTTAAATAGTATACTAATGAGTTTTAGCTTTTTTGACAAATGTTTAGATGGAAACATCATGACTGACTACAGTATAGGAAATACTTGAAAAGAGATACTGTTTTTTGTATAAAGTAGTTTTAATCACTGGAAAAAGGATATTCTGGGGGGGGGTCAAAAAACTTCAATTAAGCTAATCCTTACCACACTCTCCCAGGTAGGAATTTTCTTTTGTGTAAATTGAGGATGTGGAAGTTTAAAAAACATAATTAGTGTCATAATGAGTCAGTGTTCTGAGAATAAAATGTCTAAGTCCTGACTCTCATTTCCTGCATTGATGATACTCTACCTCACTTCCTGAAGATGTTGTAAGACCTATAAGATAGTATCAAAGAGCTCTAAGCTCCTACACCCAGGGCACTCAAATATTTCCTTGGATTCTACTTATTAACCAACATCAATCTCCACCAACTTTTCCTGTAGTTATTACAATTCTATTGATCACAAAAGTTCCCAGCTTCTGTTTTCAAGACACTTTCCTGGCCTTTTGTCTTCTTAAGATAAAGATTTGGCAAAATTTTTAACTTAGTCTATTCAAAAAAAAAGGGCTAAATTGTTTTTTAAAACCACCAATTTGCCACCTAAATCTTCTGAATGAAGGTATCATAGAAGTCTTTCTGCCAAACTTTTTCTATGTATCATTTTGGCCTTACCACTTTGACCTTACGACAGAAAACAGAAAAAATCATTTTACAGAATGAGGCTTCCAGACATTGTCTAATTTCTGAGTACAAATTTGTACCACAGAAAATACAAAATCTTCCAATTAGTTTTCTGTCCACAAAATAAGTATTTAAAAAAATTATTGGAAGGATTTCAAGTCATTAAAAAATGAGAGATAGAAATGAACTAAATATACTCAATTAAAAGTTTAGAAAAGATCATGGACTATACCAATCTACTAAAAAGACTCAATGACTCCAAGGCCAGTATTTTAAAACATAACTACCCTGTAAATTGGAGGGAGAGGAAATGAATTTCCTGTCTGAAACCTACCGAGTTTACCTGCAAGGTTGGGCTGCATCCCAACGCAGCTCATTAATATTAACACCAAAGGGGCTCAAAACTTTGGAGCGGCCCACAGAAAAAGTATGGAACTTCAGTACTTGGCAGGATCCTGGGAGCCAGCCAATCCAGAATCTGCACTGTTAGGCTCACCGGCCCCCCCACCCTCTTTTACACACCTACCCTCGGGTCAACCGAATAATATCCCCTGGCTGTATGAGACCTCCAATCTCATCCCACACGGAAATAGTGATGCTGCCCGTTTTATCTGCTACTTTGCACGATCTGACTTCATGGCCGTCTTTGGTTTTGGTCACGCGTCCTGTGAAGATTTAAAAATCAAAAGGGAGAGGGGCGTATTAGATTAACGAGGAAGACGCTATTTCTCCTCCGTATTTTAATACTTTTGGAAAGAGGAGAGGTCAAGCCCTGACTTCAAACCGCTGTGGGATCAGAGCGCCGGCGGGGGCCACTGGGACCACGTGGGTGGGGGAGGGGATCGGGGAGGACGAGCAGGGGGGAGGGGAGCCCCGGCTCGCGCCGGCGGCGTCCTTCCCTCCGAACCCGGGGCGCACATAGGGCGGTGGGGTGGGCTGCAGACCCCACTTACCTATCTCCAGGACAATAAAGACGACATTTAAGTTTTTCAGTCCGGGCTTAATATCTTTTATAAAAAGAGGTGGGTCGTTGACCCCATTCATATTGAGCAGGTGCGGCTACCGCTGCCGAGACGCGGACGGGAAGGGCGGGGACAAGGCTTCCCACCCTCCCGGGCCAGGGGCGAGGGCGGAGGGACAAACTGAGGCTGGGGTTGCCAGAGAATGGGCAGAAAGCGGTTATTCAAGGAAACCAGCGCTGGCGGCACTGAGCCCAAATTGGGGGGAGGGGAAGAGGGGGTAAAAAGGAGGGGAAGAGCGCTCACAAGTTCAAAATTAAAAAAAGAAAAAAGAAAACAAAAAGAAAACCCGAACCACTCCGCACGCCAGCCGGGCTCCCAAATGGGCGACCGGGAGGCAAAGGTAAGAACTGCCTTCTTTGGATAAAAGGAATAAAAAAAAAAAAAAGACAGTGAGGGGACACCTCTGCCCTGAGTCCCGCTCACACACACACACGCGGGCGCGCGCCCAGTCTATCCTGGACTCGGAGAAGGGATCGGCTGTGACAGCAAAACGGGAAAGAAAACTGCAACCGCACGCCCCGCGTCCCAAACTGCGACTGCCGAACGCGCCCGCGCGCCGGTGGACTACCAGGCAGCCACGCCCCTTGTGACGTCAAACGGCGTCGGCACGCCCGCCACCACGCCCGTGTGGCGCAGGGTCGGGGAAACCAAGGGATGGAAAGGAACCAACGACGCCCACGCAGCTTCCTTAGCTCCTCCCCCGGGGCTGTCAGTGCTGGCCCCGCCCCCAGCCTGCCAATCCGCTTTCGCCCCCGCCCTCCGTCGCCGCGCAACCTCAATTCTTCCCTGGTTAACTTTCCTGCTGCAAGCTTTTACTACAAGCTGGCCAACGTCAGGGTCTTCTTCACTTTTTCTCCTTGGCACTCAGCGTTCGGTCCCCAACCCATGCCCTATGGTCCTGCGGTCACGGGAACGATTGAGTTTAGGATTCAGCAGGTGCAAAAGTATGCAATTGAATTAGAACAGGGCTCTGGCATGGTTAGCTGGGTTCAGGATCAAGGAAAAACGGGCTGGGATGGTGAATGGTTCCATGGTTGTAATATTGGAGTTTTCGGACCAGAAGGGAAATTGGAGATCAGCTCAGCTTCACCATTTTAAGCATATTTAACCTGGGATCTAGAAAGATGAGGGTTGCTTGATAAAGATCATCCAGGCAGCGCAACAGGCAGGTCTTCAACACAGACCATCCGACCTGGTCTTCCACTTTTCACTCTACAAAACAAAGAAGATAGACAAGCAGTTAAATATCTTTGCAGACAGGTTTCCTTCGTCATTTGACTTTTCTTTTAATTTACACTTGTTTTTATACAATCAAAAGTAATCATATATCAGCGTCGGGAAACCCTGAAACATAACCTGAAGAAAGAAAAAAATGTGCTTTAGAAACAAACCTGGCCTTGAACTGTTTACCAGTTGTGTGACCTTTGGTCCATAATTTAATCATCAGAAAAACAGACCTGGGATCCCTACCTCATAGAGGATGAAACAGGATCAGTAAAACATTTAACTGGTGTCTAGCAAATGGTTGATGGATACTCAATATTTTCTAGTAGCCAATTTTCTATTATTAAAGGAAAGAGTAATTGCTTAACACTGATCTTTTCATGGGTCCTATGTAGGGAGTGCTAATTTTAATCCCCATTTTAAGGATGAGAAAACTCACCAGAAACCACATAGCTGGAGAATGATCAAACTGGGTTCTGAATGTAGGCAATTTTTACTCCAGAAGTCTCCTGCTAAGAAATATTTTTATATTTAAAGTTCAGTGGTGGGATTATTTAAAACGATGGAAGAAATGATGTGGTAGCAAAAGGACAACTAAAAATTAATTCTTAAAAAAATAAGCATCTAGTTAACTAGAAATGTTGGGAGGCATGTCAAAGAATTTGTATGTAAGAAGCATGCAAGTTTTTTCTCCTTTCTGGTTATCTGCAAGAATAGCTATATTATTACCCTAAAAAACGTTTCAAAAATAATCACAACATTAGTAAGAAAGTCAAGATTTTTTTCTAAAGAAGCAGAAGCTTCCAGTTCACAGACAAAAGGGCTCAGAGTGCCAAAGACAATGATGTAATATTGGAAAGTGGTGTAAAATAATATGATGAGCATGATTTCTACATCAAATGAAAACATGCCAGTTAATGGCAGAACTAGGGTCCAACCTCAGTTCTCCCCCAGACTCCAAATCCAGAAAAGAACTTCCTATTCACCATGGTTATCTGACAGACACTTCAATCAGATATTCCTCAAAGCTTATTTTTAATGCAGGCAAAACACTCTCACATGAGCAATATTTAAATCAGAACTTAAAAAAAAAAAGTTTGATGAGTTCTTAAAAAGATACAAACAGGAAACCAATTAAGAATGTTAAGTAGATTTGTGGCCAAGTTTTTGGCAAAGAAAGTTAGCCACTCCCGAAATTCTCAGTTATTTACCCCCAGAAAGAGGAGATTATGTAGGGTTGCTCAGACTAATTATGTTGACATTTTATAAAGAGGAAGCAGACACTTAGGAAACCAAGCCCAGCAAAAGCAGAAGCTAGTGCTCTGCTTTTGCTGGCCCAGCCCTTCCCAAATCTCCCTCCCCCACTATACAGCTCAGCTGAACATCTCCTACTTCCTTCCCTAGTAACTCAGCAGTTCTCAGAAAGGAAATGGCAACCATATGCTTTTTCATTTACCAAAACTAAAGACAGCTTTGAGAAACAAGATAGTGCAGGCAGTATTGGAACTTTTTAAGTTAGGTTAGTTGGTTTCAACTACTCCCAAATCACTCCCCAAAGGTGATGATTAATGAAAAGAGAAAGGGGATGTGAAGAACAATCACTAGGCAAACAACCTTTCCCAATATTAACGTTCAATTACATAAACAAGGAGATCTGCCACTCAGTGCACCCAGTTAGATAATAATTATTATATTGCTGATTTTTTTAGGATATTCACACAATTACTTCACAGTCTTCTAGTCTTCTGCCTTCTAAAGCTTGTGTGTTCTTTGGACCTTCTTTGTTTTTCACAGCCAAATATAAACTTATTCTAAAATGATGGCCTCTTCTACTTTGTGCTCAGAAACTCAACACCATAAATTTTCATGAAGGAATGCTTAGTGAGACTCAGTATGATATAGAAAAGCATCCACTAGAATTCTGTATTAAAAGGTTTTCAATATCTCATTGATAAAAATCCTCATTGATAAAGGTTTCATGTAAATTGTGTCCAGCACCCACTACCTATACTCACTTACAGGTTTTAGTTTCTGGCATTATTAAAATCCATTCCCACGTGGCACTATCCATTTATGTAAAACAATTACAAGAAATGGGAGTGGTAGTGCATGCCTGTATTCCCAAGGGACTCAGGAGGCTGCAGGCAGGAGGATTAGAAGTTCAAAGCCAGCCAGCCTTAGCAACTTAGCAAGACTCTGTCCCCAAAAAAGAACTGGGTATGTAGCTTAGTGGTAAAGCACCCTGGGTTCAATCCCCAGTACTAAATAATATAAAATAAAATAAAATAAAAAAGCAAAAAAATAAAATAACAACTACCACCACCACTACCAACAAAAAAAGAACTAAAACTATTACAACATCAAAAAAAAAAAAAAACAGCTCAACAAGGACTGTTTGATAATAGATGGTTAGTGTGGTGAAACTAAGAAAAAAAAAATTTAGAAGAACCTCAGTGTTCTCATGTTACATAAATCATCCACTTTGTAACATAATTGGCAAGGTAAAAAAAAAGTCTTAATTTTCTTTAAAAGATTTAACCAAAAGACTCAGAAATAATGTTTAATTACAAATGCAGTAGTAGCTACACAAATCAGAATGATTAATGCTGACACACCCTGAGCATCTGCTCTGTGCCAGGCCTATTATACTTATAAGCACTTACCAATTAATATGTTACTTAATATGTAAAATGATTGTTCTAATTTTATAGTGGGTTATGGAGGTATGATTTTAAATTAACTGGTACATATAACTTTTTCTAAAAACAAGCTATTTGTCCTAACATGTCCCTTCTTTTATTATCTAAATGGGTAATTTAATTTCTCAAAGATTTTGTAAATCACCATGACAAATGCAGTAACATGTGATCCCCGGTGTCTGACTGTGGGGAGGCAGTGGAATCTACTTGTGAGAAATAACTTTGTAGTTTCTCTTAATCCCTAAACAGATTAATTCAAAATAAAATTATCTTTTTAATGACAGAGGCTTCTACATTCTCAAAAGCTTCTTACAAGTGTACCATACTTCTAAAAAGTTGATCAAATTTATCATTTATGAAAAAATAAAAATATTGCCAGCAGAACAGGGCAAAATATTTTTTTAATGGTGGAAGATTTATTTACTTGGTTGAGATATCATGGTCCTCATACGTTAATGGATATTGTAAAAAATCCAACATATCACATATACAAACTGAGCAGTAAAGGTTTTTGCAGAATAAAAAGTCCTACAGAATTCTAAGAATACTGTATGTAACTAGATGCTTCAAAAAAAGTTATTAGTGTTTGCTGATGTTCCCAGAACACTGGGAATGAACAGATGAATGAATGAAGAAAACAGTGTATAAATCTAGCTTGCATGGTCTCAGAGCCCTACTCTTTAACAGGCCCTACAAAAAGTAAGTGAGAGACCCTATCATCATGCCTGACACATGTTAGAGTGGACTTGAGGACTATACAGAATTCTGACTTACTATCATAGTTTCTCCATAGTAAAAATAGATGCTCTCTTATTTTGGAGCATTAGCAAGTTTCTTTCTCTCTCTCTCTCTCTCTCTCTCTCTCTCTCTCTCTCTCTCTCTCACACACACACACACACACACACACACACACACACACACACATAAATTACCAGGAAGAAACAATACAATACAAACAATACAATTTTGTTTCCACACAAACCCCTAATTAAGAGCATTTCTTATATGAACAAAGTGTGTCCCAGGTGGAAGGATGCTTACAGATAAAGTACTTACTTGAATCCTTCATTTTGTGTATTAAAGAACACAAACTGGGAGATAACAGGATTACCACCTTCGTCTCCTAATGAACTAACGGATCTCAGTCATAATCACCAAAGGCCGCTAATATCACAAAAAGAGAGACAACCAGTTCAACCAATTAAATCAGAATCCCTCAAGGTGGGACATAGGCATTAACATATTTTAAAGTTCCCTAGGTAATCTATAATGTAACTAACTCTGAGAACTACAGCAGGTAAAGCAATTTGTTTTCTCAGAATTTTCTTTCTCTTTCTTCCCCACATACTTCTTAATACTCTGGAACAATGTTTCCCTTATACTAACTAGGGAAAACCTGTACTGATGAATTTCTAGGAGTGAAATAGTTGAGTATTTAAGACTTCTGATATATATTATCAAATTACATCTTGGGAATTTAGAAGAGACTTACACTTCCATTTGGTCTTTATATAGGCATTAAACTTAATTCATTAACTTATCCAACAATTTTTAATTAAACAATCAATAACGTGCCAGCACTGAGACTGCATCTGTAAAAAGTAATACAAAAATCCCTGACATCATGGAGCTTTCATTCTAAGGGGGCAGAAAGACAATAAAATAAATAAATTATATAGTATGAGAGAGCATGATGAGTACTAAGGTGAAAATTAAGCAAGGGAGGGGAAAGAGATATTGCAGGTAGAGATGCAAAGAGTGGTCAGAGAAGGGGATACTTGGGTGAAGAGGGAGCAAACAAGCCAGGTGGATATCTGAGTTTAGACAGTCCAGACAGAGAGCCATTGAAAAGGTATGACCACATCTGGCTTTTTGCAGGAACAGAAAGAAGACTGCTGTGGCTTGAAGAGAGAACAAGGAAAGAGTCTAGAAGCTGAGGAGGAATAGGGGGTGTATCATATATGAGGACATTTTTATTCTGCAACAGGAATCTATTGGAGTGTTTTGAGCACTGATCTGACATGCTAACCTGACTTAGGAGTCACTCTGACTGTTGGCTGAAGAACAAAAATAGCAAGGGTAAAAAAGAGGAAAATCAGGAGATTTCATATTGATCCACTTGAGATGTGGCATACAAGGGTGGTAGCAGTGACCATGGGACAAGATGATCAGCATCAGGATCTCTGTGGAAGATGGAATCACTGTGTTACTGAAAGCACAGTATGAGAAAATGAGTCAAATATGACTTCCAGATTTTGGGTCTAAATAACTAGAAAGATGGTGTCATTA